GTAAAAGCAAACAAAAAATAGATTGCATGTATGCGATTTTTCTCCTTTTTATTCTTTTTAGGTTTGATGTATGTTTATATTTGGTTTTATTTTTGCTCTTGTGTTAATGTCAGTAAATTTCTATTAAGCGGACACTACATTGAAGCGACTTAATCTCTCACAATTACCGTGAAAAATGTTGAATACTGTAAAAAAAGGTTGTTCCAGCTATTTGCTATGAGGGGATCAATGGGGATGTTAGCTTGCGCAATACTGTCCCAGAGCCCGCAAATTTTTCAATTTGCCGTTTTGGACGTTCTTTGCGGATTTCCTTTTTCCATTGTGAAATAAATCGTCTTGTATTTTGTATGTAGAAAAATAATTTAGGAGAGAGCTCTAAGATTTGTCTAAAATGATAATATTTCTATGGATAAGAATGTTTCAAATTGAAAAGGTTAAACTTCATATAAAATTATACATTATTTATTATATAAAATACGAAAAATAATTAAGATAATGTTCGAATTAAATTAATGCATTTATAGTAAGTATGACGTAAATCCAGTAGCCATAGATACAAATATTATTTGAGGTATTTTCAGTATTTCAACTGTTAAAGATGAATATTGCATATATTTTAATATCTTTTAACACGGACCTACATATATTACAGCTTACATCTATTACTTGATAAGGCCTGGAAAAGAATTGGGCTACTCAGAAGTTTTAAATTTCCTTTATCACGAATAAGTTCAGAACGCATGTATTATTCTTTCGTCCGCCCATCTCTTGAATATGCTGATGTAGTCTGGGATAACTTACCTGAAAAACTAAGTAAGGAAATAGAATCCGCTCAAGATGAAGCAGCTAGCATAGTCACAGGTGCTACGAAACTGTGTAACATTAACAAACTCGTCAGTGAGCTTGGATGGGAATCGTTAGAAAGTAGAAGAAACAAACAAAAAATAATCTTATTCTATAAAATGAAAAACCATATATCACAGATATAGTGACGTTTTAACTACAGTACCAACCAGAAACAAGAGCCGGTTAAACCGGGTGATGCTCCCCGAATAGGTCTTGGACACAGGAAGTAATTCCTCTTGTAGTGTCAGAGTTATGTCACAGACAAAGTTCAAAGTGTAAAAACAACCAAAATGTTGCGCACGATACGTCGTCTTAATATGGTGATCATTTCTGTGAAATAGTTGTAAAATCCGACTTAAAATAACAAAGTTGTGGGCCGGACACAATTTTGCTGCAAGGTCATGCTGTGACCTTGATCTTCAATGTAGCGACCAAAATGCTGTGCGCGACACATCGTCTCAATATGGTGAACTTTCTGTGAAATAGTTGTAAAATCGGACTTGAAATAACGAAGTTATGGGCCGGACACGATTTTGCTGCAAGGTCATGCTGTGATTTGACCTTTAAGGTAGTGACCCAAATTGTGCGCTTGACACGTTGTCTCAATATGGTGATCATTATTGTGAAATAGTTGTAAAATCTGACTTGAAATAACGAAGTTATGGGCCGGACACAATTTAAGTTCAAGGTCATGCTGTGACCTTGACCTTCAAGGTAGCGACCCAAATGTTGCGTGTGACACGTCGTCTTAATATGGTGATCATTTCTGTGAAATAGTTGTTAAATCCGACTTCAAATAACGAAGTTATGGGCCGGACACGATTTTGCTGCAATGTCATGCTGTGACCTTGACCTTCAAGGTAGCGACCCAAATTTTGCGCTTGACACGTTGTCTCAATATGGTGATCATTTCTGTGAAATAGTTGTAAAATCTGACTTGAAATAACGAAGTTATGGGCCAGACATGATTTTGCTGCAAGGTCATGCTGTGACCTTGACCTTCAAGGTAGCGACCCAAATGTTGCGTGCGACAAGTCGTCTTAATATGGTAATCATTTCTGTGAAATAATATAGTTGTAAAATCGAACTTCAAATAACGAAGTTATGGGCAGGACACGATTTTGCAGCAAGGTCATAAAGTGACCTTGACCTTCAAGGAAGCGACCCAAGTTTTGCGCTTGACACGTTGTCTCAATATGGTGATCATTTCTGTGAAATAGTTGTAAAATCCGACTTCAAATAACGAAGTTATGAGCAGGACACGATTTTGGTTCAAGGTCATGCTGTGACCTTGATTAAGGTAGTGACCCAAATGTTGCGCTTGACACGCCGTCTTAATATGGTGATCATTTCTGTGAAATAGTTGTTAAATCGGACTTCAAATAACGAATTTATGGGCGAGACACGATTTTGCTGCAAGGTCATGCTGTGACCTTGACCTTCAAGGTAGCGACCCAAATGTTGCGTGTGACACGTCGTTTCAATATGGTGATCATTTCTGTGAAACAGTTGTAAAATCTGACTTCAAATAACGAAGTTATGAGCCGGACACGATTTTGCTGCAAGGTCATGAAGTGACCTTGACCTTTAAGGTAGCGACCCAAATGTTGCACGTGACACGTCGTCAATATGGTGATCATTTGTGTGAAATAGTTTTAAAATCTGACTTCAAATAACGAAGTTATGAGCCGGACACGAATTCGGGACGTACGTACGTACGGACGGACGACCCGACGACTGTATGCTCCCCCGAAATTTTCCGGGGCGCATAAAAAATTCTCAAAATCATTTCTACTTCCTACCATTCGCACCTGGAATTCTATTCCTGAAACACTTAAATCTAGACCAGCTGTAAGTTCCCTTTCATGTCAAAAATAAATCAGAATATCAAAAGACCACCGTCTTACTATAATACAGGCACACGTGCACGTAAACATCAAATTCTTCACACAATATTAAGATTTGGATGTAGTTTATTGAACAAGTTCTATTGCGGATAGCCCAACATGTACACGCGGACTAAGAGAAACTCTACTTCATTTTTTATTGCAATATACTAAATTCAGAAAATTACGTTAAATATTTCTCACTTATATAAATTGTCCGCTACAATAGATAATTTTCTTTACGGCAATGAACATCTTTCTATTGATGAAAACAAAAACCTTTTTCAAAATGTCTTAAAAAAATTATTTCACAATCGAGCCGCTTTTTGTAAGAATTACTATCCTGTCTGTACGCTCATATTCCTTTTAATGTTATCTTAAGTATTTAAAATTCGGATATATTCAATCATATTTTCCCTTACATTCTTCTTTTCTTCTAGTATTTCTCCATAATTAACCTTAGTCTCTCTATAATGACAATTCAACAATCAATGATTCTCTTATTCTTTGTCGTACATTCAAAAAGCTTACATCTAACCGCAACAATTTTGTATCTTTATTTTGAAAATTACTTTAACCCATTACTTCATGAGCATTTAGTGAAAAATGGCTGTTTTCATTGAAAAGTCTCCCGTTACAAGTTCAAATTGCTATAAAACTATAAAAACTGCTTCAATACTAATCAAACTTGGCACAAATGTTGACTGGACCATTGCATTTGTAACAACATGCCCAGACTTAAATTTCCTGTTACCATGGCAACGAGGGATCATCTCCAAATTGCCAAAATCACTATTTTGCGTTGACTTTTCCCCTCAAAATAGATTTCAAAGTGCTTCAACTTCTCAATGGATTGAGATAGAGTCAAATGCTTTTTAGCGTTGGTTACAGGTTACCTTATGATCGAACTGGTGTCATTTTAAGCCTTTCACAAGTCCAAAATTTTCTTGGCGATGAGGGGGAATGCCGCCCTCTTCAAATCCCCCAAACAGAAGGGACACATATATCCCCCTGATGTATCTTTTGGTTGGGGGGCAGCGCCGAAAAAGTGGTCACTTTTTTCAACAACATTTCTCAAACAAAAACAAGTGTTGGGGGCCTAAATAATGCATTTTTTCACCATTTGAGACAACAAAAAGGGGCGGGGTTGAAAAAGGCGTAAAAAGGCGTACGTGTATATCGGGTAATGGGTTAACAGAAAATAATAAAAATACCTGAAATTACCCAAAATCGCGTTTTTCCATGTTTAAACATGGCCTAACATATAAATTTGAAGAAAAATTGTTGTTTTGTAGAATTTTTTATTTTTTTCATGAACTGTCCAGAGAGGAATTGATAAGTATTATTTTACTTTCTTTCTAATCCTGTCTGAATTTCATTGTTGTAAAATGTTTGTAAATGTTATTTTATGTACAATTTATTAAATAATTAACGTTTAAACTACAGCACAAAGCTATATAAGTTTTTGATTACAGATATTAAAAGTATGTATACAATATCATAGTCATGAAATTAATAAATTCTTAAAAATAATTATAATAATAAATGTTTGAAATTAGTTGGAATTAGTTACCAGTAATTTTTTTAGCTAAAGTTTCAAAGTAAATGAATTCAGAAAATTTCTTTATAACATCTGTAGTGTTTCAGTATTATTATATATGAAAACTTTGTGTGATTGAAATGTCTTATTGTGAACAGGATAAAATAGAGAAAAACAGAATCCCTAACGAAAGTCCAACACAACAAAATTGAAAATGTTGCAGGCTCGGTTTGATTGAGCCTGTTCATGGACGGTACTGGAAAGTGCAAGTTACCGTCCACGCCCCCTAGCACCGGCTTAAGCAGAATTCAACATTTAACACGAAAATGGTGAAATTTTGAATTTAGAAACATCCACAGATGTGTTCACACGGCGGTTATCATGGAACCTTCAATGCGACACTGTAGTGCCATTCCATGAAAAGCGGCGTATGCATGGTCCCCAAGTAAAAGAATGCTTTTGCCCTAAACGAGAAAACAATGGGCGGAACTAAATAAAATGGAATTTTGAAGATCTGAGGTTATGAAGCCTGCATATCACAGATATGACGTCAAAAGACAAATTTAAAAAGCAGGCAACATATATCCTAAGACCCTGTTTTGAATCATCATTACTGAAACACTAGAAAGGCAAATTATGGAGCAAGAAAAATACAGATATATACTGAAGGGTATATACAATTACTTAAATTCTATTATAAACACGGTCTTTTTAATTCCACGAAGCGACTAGCTCTTCAAATTGAGCAAAATTTATTTACGTTGAGATTATTTTTATTTTGATGTCATTCTACTCCGGAAAAATAACGGCATGAGACGGAGTGATTTCGAATGCGGAAGTGATTCAAGTTCACAAGATGGTTGACAGACTTGGTATTTTTTTTATTTCTATTTTATTCTTTCAACATTTTAATTGTTATACTATTTGATTACATGAACTGGTATCATTTAAAATTTCTATCAGTTATTCGCTTAACTGTCATGCTCGATTGATAATTTATTTATTCGTACTCAAAATTAAATACCCCAAAAATATGTAAAAAAACAACCCTTGAACAGATGAAGGTTAAGAAACCCGTGCAGTATAGTATTGTTTAATTGAAAATGTGATATAATGAAGAAAAAAAATGCGTAAATGTGGCAATTCGTTCAAGTTATTTTACGTATGTGAGTGAATGGAATTGAATGTAAACTAGAAAAACCCTCAGGCACTGACTTTGAGTTGAACCACGGACATCTCATCTATAAAACAGCGAGTTAACCAAGTCACTAAGGGTTAACCCAACAGCAAAGCTGTTTGAAGTGGCTTATTCCTGTATTTAACAAATTTCTTCCCTTCTGCAGATACAACATGCTCATATAATTAACCTTTCCCTAGTCCAACGAATTGTAAGTTGCGCCACAAGATATTGTGCTATTTTAGTGTCCGGGCAATATCTTGCCTCTACAAGCAAGATTCTGACCCAGCACGAAAATATCTCAGAATCAAGCTTTGGCACGTCAGTATATTTTGACTTACCTTTCCCTTATTATCTTGGCAATAGTTGTACACATTCAACTCAATTTGACACATTGATATATCATAGGAAAAAGCGACTTAAGGTAGAACACCCCTAATGGGCACTATAAGGAACTGTAAAATTGACAACATAGGACAGTTATATGCCTTAAATGTCACCTGTATGCAAAATTTAAACAAAATTTACCGTTTGGTTTATGAGTTATGGACATTTTTCTGAACTAAAACTTTGCCATTAGAAGGGCTTTTTTCAGAAATGAGGAAACTCTAAATAATCTATAATATCATCATTATGAAAAATGTTTTCCTATTAGTCATTGCTAAGAAACAAATAATGACATTTAGGTAACAAATTAGACAAACAAAATGATTGTTTTTAAACGAAATGTTTTTAGTATGTATAAAAATGTTACCCTACCCCACCTATTTTTAACACTTATTTGACCATTTCCCTGCGTAAAAAGCCTTATTTAAAATATCCCTAAAATTTTCCACAATAAGGGGCTGTTTTCAAAGTTTGCCTAAATTTTCTTACATGTATATTGGTTGGTCCTTCAAAATATAAAATACTTTTACTGTGTAGTTTTTATTTTATTAAACTTTGAAAATATGTGGTATCATATTTTCTATTAAATTTGGCATTATTTAGTAAATAAATGACTGCAAAAATCATATAATTAAAATGAAACACTTTTTTTCTTCCATAATGGATTTGAGAGATTAATAAAAAATGTTAAAAAGAAAAAAAAAGAAAGAAATAAATTTGCCCCTTCTGGGGTTTGAACCCGTGCCCCTCAGTTTCATTACACTTTACTGTGATTCTAGCCTATTTGAATACTCTTCAATGTGCATTAGGGGTGTACTACCTTAAGTTCAAATTTGGCCATTGTTCGATGATTTTTGACAGTTATAACCCTTACAGAAATGTTCAGTTTTCATTCATTATCTTCCTAACAAATGTACACATTCAATGTAAATTTGACATATGAATTTGGTCAGGGTTCAATGATTTTTGGCAGTTTAACCCTTTATCTTATTCTTAGAAAAAAATAAGAAATTTTCAGTTTCCATTCACTAACTCTCCAACAGCTGTACACATTCAATTCGAATTTAAGATATGAATATGTCATAGGAATACACAGGTCAAGTTAGAATTTGGTCCTGGTTTCATGAATTTGACAGAGTTATTCCTCTCTAACTTTGGAGCCAAACAGATGTAAACATTCAATTCAGATTTGACATATAGATATCATTTTGATAGGATTAAGCAGGTCATGCCATGATGGTTTGATGATTTTTGATAGAGTTATCCTTCTTGAATCTTGTTAAAAAATTTGATTTTCTGTCCGCACTCTTTCTTTTGCAGAAATGTATGTATAAGGTTGAAATCGCATTTGTAGGTATTTATGAACCAGAAAATACAAGTCAAGTTTGAGTTTGATTTGGTCCAATGATTATGACAGAGTTATCCTTCTTGAACTTAGAAAAGAAATTTTCAGTTTCTGCTGTAACTTTTGTAGGAATGTATGTACGATATTGACAATGCATGTGCTGGTATTTTACCAGAAAATACAAGTCAAGTAAGTACTTTGGCCATGGTCAGATGTTTTTTGACAGTTATTCCCCTTGAACTTTGAAAAGATTTAAAAAATCACAATAATCTAAGGATTATATTGGCTACAATATGCATTATGCAATTTGCAAAAGGTTAATACTTTACAGTTTCAGGGCCTTGCACTTAGAATGAAAAAAATGGTTTGTGCAAACAAATTTGGAATTAAATATTATTATAACATTTGAAATTTTTTATTAGTGCTGAACTGATGAATATTAAATGTAAGCCAAATCATTTAAATTAGATTGACCACAAAATAAGACTTCAGTAATTCATCTGTTTTTAGCAAGCGGGTAATTTTTATTTTTTTGTTTAGGAAATATGTATTTGTTAAAGAAAAATTATACATTTATATCTGTTCTTCAAAAAAATTTGTTCTAAACATTTGTCATCAAAAATGAAAGGAAAAAAAAGTGTTTTGAAAATTAGGTAAGTGTGCATACATGGGGAATTAAAATGACTTAAATATGTTACCTTTGTTATCTAATACATGTAACTGAAACTCAATGTTTAAATTTGCTTGTTGTAATTTTTTTTTATTTGTCATATTTGATAAATATATACATGTATCTTAAGCTTTTATACAAGTGGAAAGATATATTTATTGTGCTATCTTAGCATGTTTAAATACGATTATACATGTCTATCTTTTTGTTAAAAGAATGTCAAGCAATAATTTATAACATTATTGCTATAATGATGAGTATATATCCTACAGGTATAGGTTATATAATTATAGTGAATTGGTACACTATAAGATAGTAATTTTGTGCTTGATTATTACAGGAAGATTATTAATAAAAAAAATTCATCATTTTTGACCAGACAAATAAGGAAATTGCTAGATAACCCTGTCACCTTAGAAATGAGGAGAAAATATCATTTTACAATTTACTTATTTTCTTTTCATTTTAGTTAATAGTGAGTCTAATACTAGACGTATAGCATGTGTGGAGCAGTGTTTTGGATCTTCAGGCCAGGTAAATTTCCGTAAATACACATATATGATATATTATGAAGGGGTTTTTTATATAAAGGGTAAGAAGCTGTATATAATGAAATATTTCATAAAATATAGCAACAGTAAAATTATATTGGTTCCATAATCTTATAGTTGAATTTCAAAAGAGTTATAACATTGAATGTCATTCATTTTACTAGTATTAATTTTAAAGAAATAAGAACATAATCCAAAGGACAAGATAACTATTTATTTCATGCTTTCCAGTGTTTTATTGTAATATATCAGATGATTATATTCTGATAAACCACTAGTGAAATTTATAAAATATAATTTTCACTGTAGCCGGACTATATCTGATTGCGGATGAAAAGAAAATCAAACTAAATGGAATAACAGGCAGAAATAAATGCCGCCATATGTAAATTTTGCTTCTTTAGGAAACGAAAGTTGATGTTACCGTACATCATGTTAAAAATGTAACAAAATTAGAGAAATTTAACAGAACTATATTTCAAAATTGATGATGTGACGTCATGGTGTGATGACGTCACAAAGGAGAATGCACGACGTTACGCGGCAAAATCAGTAAAAAATACTTAAAATCACTTAAAAAGCATGAAATAAAAAGAAAATTTATTTATTTTACATATAAGATTGAAATATATTTCATTCGTGAACACCAGCTTTTATATTTTCACTCGTGGCTACGTCACTCGTGAAAATATTGCATCTGGTGTTCACTCAGTGAAATTATATTTCAATCTTACATGCAAAACAAACAAATATCCTCTGTGTAATATCTAGATGTATGTGACTTTAAGGCAAAAATATGACTGGAAATACATACATAAAAGTTGCCTGTATTTCAAGCATCCAAAGGATTCTCGCAGCTTTGCTAGAAAAGTAAAATTCATATACATTTGTAATTAAAACACCAGAATTATGTTAAACTTAAAGCCTCTACATCATGAATGCTTACAGCATCCCCTATCTTTCACTTTCAAACTTTTACCAATGATGTAAAGTATATACATTACTTACAGTTCTCTGTTCCAACTTTAAGTCAGGTTATTCAGGCTCAAACATCAACTTACCTTTATTTTTCCAGCCCCTGGCTGTACCTGGACGAGTGTTGGTTGGAGAAGGGGTATTGACAAAGATGTGTAGAAAGAAGCCAAAGCCTAGACAGTTCTTTCTATTTAATGATGCTCTTGTTTATGGAAATATTGTTATTAATAAGAAAAAGGTTTGTGAAAAAATAAATAACTTTATAACTAGGTGAATGAGTTACCATGAATATTGTAGAGCTGCATTTAATATAGTTTCAACAAAATAAAAATATTGAATCTTGCTAGACTCTACCAAACTAATAAACTGTTCCACAAATGGTATCTACTTTAGACCTAGGATAATTTGTCATTACTCACGTCATGTATGACAAGGTTCATAACTCGAGCATCTTTGTTTCAAAAATTATTTCCTCCTCTAACTTTTACTTTAAAAATGTTATAAACTTTTTGTGAATATTGTGAGGTCTTTCTGAGATTATGTATTCTTTCGTTGGAGGAATAATTAGCTAATGAGCTGGCGAATGATTGATTGATTGATTTTCTTTAGACCGGGCGGTCAAGGATAACCTACGAAAGTGCAAGCACTTATTTCCAGAAGGGTCCTTACCTCAGCAGACACTAGAGACAGCTATGAGATACAAGAAATCCGGGAACCAGTCCCTAGCTCTTATTGAATAGGTTCCTTGGTTCTTTTACATGCCCAGTGTATAGCACTGATACATGCGAGGATTACCTGGGTTTCGTACCAGTAAACCTCTAGTTAGGTGGGAAACACTGAAAGTGTTTCTGAAAAATCCCAAGGGTGTTACCCAGGATCGAACAAGGAACCTCAGGAGTGACAGTCAGTGGTCTAACCAACTGAGCTATCGCGCCACCTTCAGGCGAAGGTCTGAAATAATACATTGAGAGGTATTTGAGGCTTACCTCTACCAGTTAAGATGTACTGTCATAAAACAATGTTATTATTCTGTATCATTATGCATTATACTGTATTTTTATGCATTATTCTGTGTATAATATTTATATGTATATTTATGATATGTTTTCAGTATAACAAGCAGCATATAATGCCCCTGGAAGATGTAAAAATAGAGGGTGTAGAAGATGTAGGAAGTAAGTGAAACTTTAATATTATATATACATGTAGATACTATACTACACTCAGGAAAATTTATTCTGCATGAAAGTTAAAGGCACTTTTTACAATACAAATAGAAAGTTTTTCATCCCACTCAACTCAGTTTCATTTGCTATGGAGGGTGCCAATTTATGTCAATATTATACTTTTAAATTTTAATACTTGAACAAATACTTGAGTATAATATGTTTACTAAATATAGGGAAAACTTTTTTGCATTTTTCTTAATTGTTTCTTAGTGTTTTTTGACAGTTTTTTTGTTTCAATTTCCTGTATTTTAAGTCAGGTAATTTGCAATATTGAGCACCTGTTCCGCATTAAAAATGTTCACTACAGTAAACTGTTATCATATAGGCAAAGACAGAATGAATACTGTTTCATAGGATTTATTTAAAATTGGCATGCTTTCAAGAATATGATTTAAAAAAAATAATTTTAAAGTGAAAAAATCATTTATTCCAGTTTTTCAGTTTTCCACCCATAAATTATTATTCTTTGCTGATCATTATATTTTTTCCCATAACTCTTACATGGATTTTGTCAGACTCTAGTATGAATTATAGCCCTTTGTGATTTTGTTTATTACAAATTAAATGATAAAATGTCTTTTTTCCTATGACAAATTTGACTCTATTTTCTTTTTTTATTGTTCTTTCTTAATAACAGTAATTCCAGGTATTTAGAATGTGTTAGAGCATGTCAAGCATGCAGCTTATTATATGTTGTATGTTTTTTCAGATCATTATGGTAAATATTTTATTCATTTTTGTGCTGTGTGGAAATAGTATATGTATTCTTTGAACTTTTATTACAACATTCAAAAGCTTCCTAATGAAGTATTAATTAACTCTTTGGTTTAATGGTGATTCCATGTTACCCAGCTGTACCCATTTTCTCTTGAAACATCTATGTTATCTGCAGAGTAGAAGAAATAATTTTAAATTTATTAATTTTTCCTTCATTACTTAAAAGAAAATTCAAATCTGTTATGTTTGTTTAGTTAGCTCAGATTTTTGTTAAGATTTTAGATTTTTTTTTGTAATTGATAATTTTTTTTTTATTTAGTCAAATTATTTTGTTGAATCCTCTAGATTAATGCATGTGCTAGCAAACAGACATTTGTTACAAATCTTATTAGTCCCCTACCGGTTTAACCGGAGGGGACTTTAGGTTTACCCTCCGTCCGTCTGTCCGTCTGTCTGTCCGTCTGTCTGTCAGTCTGTCAGTCCGTCCGTCCACAAAACTGGATCCCGCGATAACGCAAAAAGTACTGAAAATATTTTTATGAAACTTGATATATGGATAGATGGCAGTATGGAGATTATGCACGTCTTTTTTTTTTCTTCCTATGTTGAAAATTCTGGTTGCTATGGCAACAAATACTCTGAAAATATGGCAAATTTAACACATAAACTGGATCCAGTGATAACTCAAAAAGTACTGAAAATATTTTTATGAAACTTGAAATATGGGTAGATGGCAGTCTGGAGATTATGCACATCTTTTTTTTTTCTTCCTATGTTGAAAATTCTGGTTGCTATGGCAACAAATAGCCTGAATTTCAAGATTTCTGATTTAAATTTTTCAGCTTTTTCACTATATGTTCTTTATTTCTTAAGGTGTTTACTTCAAACTTTAAATATAAGTTTCTGGTCATCAACCACATCATATGTGACAAGGTTTATAACTCTAGCACAAAAAATATCAGTATTACCTCCCTTGAACTTAGATTTTTTAGGGGAAAAAATGTTGTCTTTTTTAAATAACTTCTTTATTTCCTAATGTATCTACTTCAAACTTCATATATATGTTTCTTATTATCACTCAACATTTTTGAGAAGGTTAAATAATCTAGCAAGACTATTTCCAGAATTATGTCCCCCTTGAACTTAGATTTTTTTTGAGAAACTGGTATTTTCACTCCAACTTCTTCATTCCTTATAGGATTTACTTTAAAATCCCACATCGTAATAATATGACAAGGTTGTATAAACATAATTTCCTTATTTTTTATGACAAATTTTAGATACATAAACATAGGTCATATGAGTTATATATCAGTATGGTAAATATAATTAATAAGATCTGACTAATTTGCATATTAGATAGTTTAATGTTTGAGTGTGGGTGTGTGTTGTTGTTGTTGTTTTTTAACACCTGAGGATTCTCCACCAGTATAGCTGGGATGTCCCAATATGACCTATACTGTGTTGGTGCATCATAAAAACCAACAAAAAACCCAAAAGGATCACTGAAGCTTATAATGAATTTTGAACTCTTTTTTTTTTTCCCCGGTAAATAAACTTTGTCGAAATAATATACTGACACTTTGGTGTTGAAATTGACAGTTTATAAGTTATGGTGCAAAAAATACAATCATTGTTTCTAAAAGATTTGTATTTTGTTAATAAATTTGTTTACTAACATCTTGAATCCACTTGGTAGGTTCAATAGCTTGTTTTAGTTATGCTCATACAAAGTAAATGGCAGCATGTGAAGAGTTAAGTTATAAAAAAGCGTTAAGGCAGTTTTTGTATGTTTATGGTTTAAAAATGTATAAATGGCTAGTGTTACTATCCAGGTGTCACTTTGTATCACACAAAATATGACAGATTTCACTATTTTTAGTTTGAAAATGTAATCGTATTACAGAAGTAGAATTCATGCATATTTTGACAAGTTATTAGCAATTTTTGGGGTAGTATATGTCTAAGGCTACATCAAATCACAACTATTTTACTTGTATTAGAACAGTTTTGAACTTGCCAAATGATAATACAAATCTATGGACGTGATGTTTCATATACAATATATAAATTGCAGAATTCTACTAAAGATTGTTTGACAGAATATAAAATGTCACAATTATCCAATGAAAAGTGACGTTACAAACATGCAGTATTAAAATGAACAATATACATTGTACTGTAATAAATGTATTAATATAAAATTCTTTATAACTAATAACAAATATTTACTTTTATACTGTTTATTTATCGGTATATTTTTTTCCAGATTTAAGAAATGGTTGGAAGTTGATCAGTCCAAAGAAGTCATTTGTTGTATATGCAGCAACAGGGGTAGAGAAACAACAATGGATCTCTCATATCAAAAAATGTGTTTCTGATTTACTCCATAAAAGTAAGATAGTAACATTAATGTGTAATAGATTTAACCAAATTAAATTATATAGCTCCCCATTGGCAGAAGGTTGCTGACTCATTGTTGTGGTTGTGAATGCAAACAGAGACTCAAATCCTGACGGGGGACTTTGGATTTTTTCATGTATTAAATAGAGCATATTAAATGAGTGTAGATTTTATACAGAATTTATTGAACGAGTAGAATAAAATCATATTTTGTAAGTCTCTGGCGAGACATACTTTTCAAGGAGTTCAATAAATTAAGTCATTAATCTACATGAATATGATATTATATTTATGATATGTCCTAAATAATAACAGTTTACATTTGAAAAAGAGTCTTGTTTCATTGGCATTCCTATAATGTAATAAGCTAACATTGGCATGCTTTACGCTATGTTTGAATACAATGCAAATGACGTTGTGTCAAATTTTTATTAACTAGTGTTATATCGTTTGAATGCCACTGCAGCATCTGGTTCATTTTTCACTATGAGAATAATTATCCTAGAAAAACAGAGTGAGTGAATGTCTGAAATTTTGCAATTTTTGGAACCAACAGGACACTACAAAATTTAATAGAAAGCTATTAAAAAATGAAATAGGTAACCATTTTTTTTAGGCTCAATTGGCAGATTTTTATGAAACTTGATAGGAATGATCCACAAGTTGGGCTGCATGAACATAGCTTTAGCAATACGTGTAGCTAGATATTATTATGCTTAATAACATCATGGCATTCTGAGCGAAAGAATAGATTATAGGTCTACTAAAATGTAAATAACAAATTTGACTTTGAATTCAGATGACATTTGACCTGGAACAATTTGACCCTTTACTCAATCAAATTTTGGTTGTCAAGGAGGATTGACACAATTATGTGACATGAGAATGAATCGCCTGTTTGCGGTACCTGACTCTTCCGCCTCTAAATGTATGCATTGTAAACGCTCTCAGTTCTCTATGCTTAATCGAAGGGTAAGTGAACAATTTTACGATATTTCCTGATAAAATAAAAACTAATGGAATTACATGAGAGGTGATGACCAGGTGCTTTAGAGTGTCTACCTTTCAACCTTGAGATCATTAGAATCCAAAAGGACTGTGTTAACTTATATGACAGTAGCATAAGCTACGTCTTAGGAGTGTCTGAAAATTAGTTAAATTAACCGTTGGCTAAATAAGTAATCAAGTCAAAAAGAAAAAGTTTGATCTCTCAAGTTTCAGTTAAAAAATTTTGTGTGGCTTTTTTGTGTAAGTAATTACTGTAAAAGGTGTGCTGATTACCTTCCTTATTCTTCCCCTTTCTTGTTGCTCTATTATCTTGTTTTGACAAGGAAATAGGCTTTATTATACAGAAATGAAATTAAATGTTAATGCTTAATAAAAAATTTTAAAGCTCTATGGGATCAGGGTGTAAAATAAATTTATACTTGTAGTGTTGTAGATAATTATATATATGATAATATAAACTTGATATTAACTAGATAAGTGGTTCTACCTTTTTAAAGGCATCAAACTGTAATAAAGTATCAATTTTTCAAGAAAAGTTAAAAGCTGGAGTTGAAGAAACGGCTTAAGTACGAGTGTATGTTTGAGAATACACTTTTCATTTCACTTTTCATGTTGGTTTTTTAGTTTCTATAGAAAGTTTAAAGCTCAAAGACATACTTTAGAATCCATTCTCTGAATCCAACAGTTATGAGCAATGAGTGTAATATTCTTGTTCATGGAAACAACGACTTGCCCCTGATGGGGTTTGAACTCATGTTCATTTGATATAAAACTTTTTACCATTTTGCTGTAATAACATTTTTATACCCCCGCACAACAAAGTTGTAAGGGGGGTATACTGGAATCAGGTTGTCCGTCCGTCCGGCCGTCCGTCCGGCCGGCTGTCCGTTTTCTTGTCCGCCCAATAACTTAAGATTCCTTTGACTTTTAGTCTTCATATTTGGCATGGAGGTTAGTCATGATTAGTAGATGACCCATATTGATTTTGAGGTCACCAGGTCAAAGGTCAAGGTCACAGGGGCCTTGACTTCAAAAAGCTTGTACGCCCAATAACTTAAGATTCCTTTGACCTACAGTCTTCATATTTGACATGGAGGTTAGTCATGATTAGTAGATGACCCCTATTGATTTTGAGGTCACCAGGTCAAAGGTCAAGGTCACAGGGGCCTTGACTTCAAAAAGCTTGTCCGCCCTATAACTTAAGATTCCTTTGACCTACAGTCTTCATATTTGGCATGGAGGTTAGTCATGATTAGTAGATGACCCCTATTGATTTTGAGGTCACCAGGTCAAAGGTCAAGGTCACAAGGGCCTTGACTTCAAAAAGCTTGTCCGCCCTATAACTTAAGATTCCTTTGACTCATAGTCTTCATATTTGGCATTGAGGTAAGTCATGATAAGTAGATTACCCCTATTGACTTTGGGGTCACCAGGTCAAAGGTCAAGGTCACAAGGGCCTTGACTTCAAAAAGCTCGTCCGCCAAATAACTTAATATTCCTTTGACCCACAGTTCATATTTGGCATGGAAGTTAATCATGATTAGTAGATGACCCCTATTGACTTTGAGGTCACCAGGTCAAAGGTCAAGGTAACAGGTGTCTTGACTTTAAAAAGCTTGTCCGCCCAATAACTTAAGATTCCTTTGACCCACAGTCTTCATATTTGTCATGAAGGTAAGTCATGATTAGTAGATGACCCCTATTGACTTTGAGGTTACCAGGTCAAAGGTCAAGGTCACAGGGGCCTTGACTTCATAAAGCTTGTCCGTCCAATAACTTAAGATTCTTGACCCACAGTCTTCATATTTGGCATGGAGGTTAGTCATGATTAGTAGATGACCCCTATTGACTTTAAGGTCACCAGGTCAAAGGTCATGGTCACAGGGGCCTTGACTATAAAAAGCTTGTCTGCCCAATAACTTAAGATGCCTTTGACCCACAGTCTTCATATTTGGAATGGAGGTTAGTCATGATTAGTAGATGACCCCTTTTGATTTTGAGGTCATTGGATCAAAGGTCAAGGTCACAGGGACCTTGACAAAAAAAAAGCTTTTCTTCTCAATTGCTAAAGAATGCCTGTCGGCAGTGTACTGATTTTGACATTTTCACATTTGAATCATGTAGAATACATAACTTAGCGATGCACTGGCTTAGTAACCTCAGATTTGGCAGGGAGGTTGTCCTTGAGCTCTAAATGGCCACTGTTGATTCTGACAAAGTGGTATGCGGGGGTATTCTCACCATGATAGTGGCAGTTCTAGTTTCTAGCCTGCTACTTTCAGATTTACTATTATGATTATTTTTGGTTATTTTTAGACACTATAGGTAAATTACTGTGAAAGTAAATGTTTTAAGCTAGCCATTATCATATTATATTTCAATCTGAGTCTCAAATATCACCCAAAGTGGCATGTATCTAGAGGCATCTTATCCTTATCTGCCAAGCATTACAAATACTCATTTTATTGTAAATGTCAATGTAATAAAAAATAGTTCTATAACTGAACTTAATAAAGAAGATATAAAAGTGTATGATATTCTGTTTGTCACATTACCGAAATAAGAACAGGTTGCCCTTTACAGGTGAGCCTTAGCACATCATGCGGTGCTCTTGTTTGTTTTTCCACAGAGTTGGAGAAGCAGCATGGATATGTGATGAAGTTGTATTTATAAATAAATTAAATATAAATATATATAATATTTATTACAGCATCATTGTAGGAAGTGTGGGTTAGTTGTCTGTGATGATTGTTCTAGTAAAAGATGGCTGTTACCTCAACAATCATCTAAACCACTCAGAGTATGCCTTACTTGTTTCGGAAAACTTTCCAGCGCAAAGAACCCATCAGAATCAGGTTTGTGCAATTACAGTAAGATAAAAAGATCTTCTGAAAGTAGTGAAAAACAAACATTAAGTGAAATTTGAAACATTTAGGTTTTTTTATTAGCTCCATTTATCTTAAGAAGAAAAGTTGAACTATGGTCACAACCCTCTTGAAGGCGTTCGGCACTGGTTAAACTCTATGTTATGTCCATTTTCTCAGGAACTATGAAAAGGTATTTACTTCAAACTTTGTGAACCCAGTACTTGTTTATCAAAATATAATGCCATATCAATAGACATATATTCCTGGTAATATTTTTGCAAAGTTATACACTTTTTTTACTTTGTTTGCCCTGATTTTTTTTTTTTTTTTTGCACTGGTTATTATTTTTTTTGTCCATTTCTTGACAGATAGACCCTTTAGATTGAAGCTGAAAGAAGACATAGGAAAGTTTTAATATCAGCTTTCCAAGGATTAAATGATATATTTTTATCATAGTTCATTATGAGTGGATATACTGCTCATGTTAGTGACTATATAGGATAAATATATAATACTGTTTCCATGGTGATATTGCAGGTATAACAAACACACCAGATGATTCATCAGGAGAAGATACAGATGATGAGGATGATGATGCTGTATATCAAGGAATACCCGAGGTAATTAACCTTATTGATACAATTATTGTTGTACCCGAGGTAATTTACCTTATTGATACAATTATTGTTGTACCCGAGGTAATTAACCTAATTGATACAATTATTGTTGTACCCGAGGTAATTAATCTTATTGATACAATTATTGTTGTAAGCTCAGTCCATCACATAGAAAAACCTTGCCAAATTAACTCAATAAATAGTCGAGAAGCCAATTATTACTAGCATCTTTCTCAGTAATGATTTAATTAAGTTGTTTAAGTTCTAGTTAAAACCTGTATTATTCTCATATTTTTCAGGACCAGTTCCAGACTTATGATTAACTGAGGGAAACAAGAAGAAAATAAGCGTGATATGCTAGTTCTAATCTTACACTTCACTTGTAGACAAATTTACTTTAACACAATAGTGATTTTAGAACATCCTGTGAACATCACTTCAAATCAAAAGATGAGTTGTATGAAAAACGAAAACAGGTTTCAAATTAATAGCAGATGTGAAACATATATAGTTATGATTCTTTTCCTTTTATTTTCCTTTTGGATTTATTTTGTTTTTCTTTATTGCAATCATTTTCATGCAATTTAGGTTGTTACTAGTACCTGTTAATTTTGTTTACTAGAAAATAAAAAAAAATCTTATTGCTCTTTGAATTAAAGTATAAAGTATAAAATAATTAGATGTGCATGGGAGTGATTATCTGCACTAAAAGTATGTTAGTGTATAGCTGAAGAAAAGTTAGCCAGTGGAATGCATACATATAAGATCCTTTTAATTTAAGGATCAAATCTAGAACAAATAATGTAATTTGTCAGCAAAAAACAAGTAGAACTTAACAATGAACATTGCTTGACAATTGTTAAAAAGTTATTAACTTTATTGAGAAAAATTCTTACTTTATACAGTTTTTGTTTGTTTTTCAGTTTTTTTTTTTCGCTTAGCCTACTACCATTTCCATACTTAACATCCATGTTCCATATTTTACCCAATTAAGAAAATTACTCTAGGCCATTAAGGTTCAGGGACTTTGGATTCTTTCATGTGAGGAAGCTATCCAGCTAGCTTACGGAACGTCGGTGGTTCTACTCAGGTACCTGTTTGTGCCTGAAATAATGCACGGAAGGGCACCTGAGGTCTTCCTCAACCAGTAAAGCTGGAACGTCGCGATATGACCTATACTGTGTCGATGTGACGTAAAACCCAAAAACAAACAAACAAACAAACCATTAAGGTTATCAATAAGTTTTTACTTGATATGTTCAAACTAGTATTTAGGAATAATGATGAATGTTTTTACTTAAAAAAAAAACTAAATGTTATTTATTATTCTGATGAACTAGTTGGAAAATTAAGTTAATAAAAACCCCAAAATAATGAAAATATCTTACTATCTTTCTAAAAAAAAAAATTTTTTTTTTTTTTCAATTTTTGTTTACTTTTTTTTTTTTTTTTCAATTTTGTTCACTTTTTTTTTCTTTTTTTTTTCAATTTTGTTTACCGGTTTTTTGGTCACTGAAGGTATGATATTTTTGAAGATATCAAAATCAAAGAAAAATGATAAGTCGAAATTTTAGGTCAAAAATGATCAACTTTAGTATGTAAAGTGTTACTGTTAGAAAAATTTGCTCACTTTTTGAGGCATTTAATTTCCTATTTTCATAAAAGAAAAACGTAAAAAAAAGTCTTGGGGGGTTTGTTTTGTTACTCTTTACTTTTTCATAGCACTTTAATTTAATTGCTGATATATTGGGTATTTGGTGTGAATATACCTTATATAAACCTCACCTTTGTTATGGATTTCAGGTCAGTTGAATGAAAGTCAAAGTTAGTGAGGATAGAAATAGGTTTTCCAACATTTTTTATAGTTAAAGATATATTTTTACTTTTTATGAACAGGGAGTATTGTTGATACTGTTATTCATGTCTGCTTTTATGATTTGAGCCGCGTCACAACAAAACCAATATAGTGGGTTTGTGACCAGCATGGATCCAGACCAGCCTGTGCATCCGCGCAGTCTGATCAGGTTCCTTACTGTTCGCTATCAGTTTCTCTACTTGTTATAGAGTTGGTAAGCGAACAGCATGGATCCTGATCAGACTGTGCAAATGCGCAGGCCAGTCTGGATCCATGCTGGTCGCAAACCCATTATGTTGGTTTTGTCGTGACGTGGCTCATTTGTGTAAGCTTCTATATAAATATTATTTCCAGATCATTCCTTGACTCTTTTATTTTGTTGAATATATGCTCATTTGTGTACAGTTGTATACATTGTATTTATAGAAATGAGTGCTAGGTTGAAGTCTGTTTATGTAATTTTAAGATGTCTAAGGAATCGAATTTGCAGGAAATGAATACAATTGACAATTTGCTTAAATTGCTATATTATGTTGAAATATTGTATTTTTGTTATAATTTGTATTGCATGTTGACAAAAACAATCAAATCAAGCCATGTATAGTGGGTTTTTTTTGCATTTGTTCACACTGTTATCCTGCTTGTAATAATTGCATTAATTACTGTCTGACAACAGTCACATTTTTAACATAAAAATAATTGTGAATTACTTGTGGATATTTGTTACTTGTGGATATTGTATGTTAAACTTTTGTACCATTATTTAATGAAAAGGGATATGTCCATGTAATATGAAACAAATATGTGTTGAATATTGTATAAATTATTTTGAATTTGTCATCGTAATGAAATTGTCAAAGTAACAGTAAGTTTGTATTACCTTTTGCAAAAGGTTATTCTTGTTTTATTATTAAATGTACATGAAAAAAAGACTTGTGATTAAGTGCCTTAATTTCTTGAATTTTGTAAGTTATTTGTCAGGGGGAAGTGCTTTTCTGTGGCGTTATATGCTAGAAACCTTTTATAAAACCTATGGAAAACTTCCCACTTTGATTCCAAAAAATGAGAATTTAGTGTAATTTATGATGCACTTACGAACTTTCGCTATATGTATATGCAGTATTTCGATAGAGCGGAAGTCAGTGCGCGAGCATGCGCTTTGCCATATCTCGTTCAGTTACCACTCGGTTGCTATGAAGCGACACTAAGTGTACATGGCTTTTACAACTAAAATATCAGACAAACACATTTAAACAATACACATAAACTACACATAGTTGTTTTCCATATTAATATTTTGCATTTGAAACTGATAGTCAAACAAATATCTCAATATTCTTACCGATTTAATGTATTGTTTACATTTGATGACAGCAACGCTGCGTGTTAGATTACTTTCGGTTCAGAAAATGCATTTGTTTACCATCAAAACTCATATGTTTACCATAGGAACCATATATAGATAGAAAGCAAATTAAACAAAGGTAAAGAAAAAATTGTCCGTTTCTGAACAAAAAATCGAATAAATAAATACAAAGTCTTTTTACAAGGTCCCTTCTTTGAGTTCATTTGAAAGGGGAATAATTTGGTGGAATTTCAGACAGGGAAAACAGGGAGTTATCATTCATGGCTAGGGAATATGGCCGACTGAAATTATGCAAGCAAGTTTGTAAGTGTGATGTGATCATCACTTATTTATTTCAAAGTGGTAGGCACAATTTAGCTCCCAGAAGTTTTATCAGTTTAATGAATTTTCCGTATTAAAGAGGAGAACCACGATTCTGCTGTATTGTGTCCCCTTTTTAACAAGTGTATAGGGAATTTATGTGAATTATGTTAACAGAAATTTGAATAGGCTAGATTTTCTATTTGCTTAAAATCCTAAAATAAAGACTTAGATGTTATTACTCTGTAGATTATATGCATGGTTATGTTTTGTGGGGGGAAAAAACCAAATGCATTTATTTCAAAAGCTCAAGTGTCATTAAAAAAACAGAAGCATATTTAAAAATGAATTTGATTTAAAAATGAAGTTTTGGTTACAACAGTTAAGAATGAAAGTGTATGCATGACTGATTGAATGAACTGTCAATCAACGAAATTTGTTTGATGTTTTTGAAAAACATAAATGTTGCAGCACAAAATTATGTAGTCATATGTGTAATTTCTTTACTCTGTTGTTAAGTATTGAATTGTTGTTAATTGTGTTTTATGTTTATTGTGAACTGCAGATATTGGTGTATATAGATGATTTATGTAACTTGCTTCTAATCTGCACATATTAAACTACTTCTAAAAGACCATATGATAATGTATATTTATCTATATCATTTATGCACATTCTTTTCTACACATTTAAAATATTTAGAAAGGATCTTAATTCTTATTTAATTATTATCTATATTTTCACGCAATAAAATATCAGCAACAGTATTATAACTGTTTGTGTCTGTATCATGACAGAAGATTTTGAACTTAAAACAATGGGTATCATATAATCTCATAGGCCTAGTTCATTTTATCATGTCCATGCTGTGGACCGGCTATGATTCATTTTTATGCTCCCTGAAGAAAGAGCATATAGTCACCTCTATATCCGTCTGTCCAATTTTCTTGTCCGGGACATAAGTCTGAAACTACAAGAGGTATCAACAAGAAACATAGTAAGAAGATAGATCTCATTGAGTAGAAATGCAGTGCAAAAGAGCCGTAACTCTGCCTTTCCTCATTTTGGAGTCATTGCCCTTCGTTTATTATACACTGTGTTGGACATAACACTGAAACTAAAGAGATACCAAAAAGAAACTACTTCTTTATGTCCAAAACCTGTTTGGAGAGCGTCACCAAGTATGTCTGGCTCTTGTGTTTTACGTTTTAATATTTCATTCATCTTGTTGAGAAGCAAAAGAACTGACCATATAACTCACCCATACAAATTTGAACCACGCTAAAGAACAAAACTTACAGGTTGTTGTTGGGTTGTTTTTTTTTTTTTTTTTTGCACTGCGATTTATGGAAAAAAAGATCAGTTAAAGGAAAAGATATATTTTCTGTCAAACCCATTTGCAGATTGGGAATACTTTGTCACTTTTAGTGCATTATTGTATGTCCGAGTTTATTTCTTTTTATTTGCGTTGTAACTTTGTCATACAAACAAGCAAAACTGCACAGATTTTTTATGAACTTTTGCTTCATTAAGAATATGGGTCATCTAAGCCACACAACCTGAATACAGAAATCCTTGTCAACACTCTAGAGGTAACAATTACGAGTATAGTTAAGATTTCATGAAAGTTTGCCATAAATAATGTTTATCATGCTTTCTATCTCAAGTTAGAATAGGGTATATTTGGGATAAAAACAATGTCACACAAAGCAAATTAGGATAAACCTAATCCACTCTTCAGAGGTTACTTTTTTATCCAAGATTTGTCAGAAAGATTGTTTCAATGATTTCAAGCTCAACTTCCAATATGGATCAATTGGGATCAAAAACTAGGTCACAGAGTCTAGATCTAACTATGACTTAAATTTTGTCCTAGTGATCTTTATGTCTATGAAATTTGGCCCATGTTCACATTCAGATAAAGAACTGAACTCTTGTATTAAATGACCTAGATTTTGACCTTGTGACCTACTTTTATTGTGTTTTTGTTTTAATCTAAAGTTATAAAAGTTAAACAATGCACCCAATTTTGTATGTAAAATTGGCTAATATAACTTTTGATCAAGTTACCTACTTTTTGACTTGCAGCTATGAAATGCGGACCATGCACAATTAAAAAAAAGAACAAGATAATAGCTGACCTCAATTAAACCTAATGACAGTTTTAAAATTTGTCACTAATACACAATATTAGATGCTGTTTTACATTTTGATACCAGATGTCATGAATTTTTACCTTATAGCTAATTTTTATGTAAGAGTATCATGCAAAGCCGGAATGTAAAGGGCATTCTCTATGCTTTTTCTGGAAGATTGTGCTTCTAGAAGGAAAGGAATAATTGGTCAATGGTCGGTTCGTTTAACAATTCAGACAACCTAGTCTAATGAAGCAGCTTTGACATCTGACATAAGTGGTAAACAAATCAAATAAATTGAATCCCAACAGATTCCGCACAAACATTTAGGCACATTGCAAACTGA